CGATAAAAATAAGTTTCTTAGTTCAGGAATATTCCTTTCTAGGCTTATTTTCGAAGTTTTGTATCCATAACAAACTTTGTCAGGATTAGACGCTTTGCTATAAAGGAAGGTCAGACTGATGGAGTAATATGAGATGTAGACGCCGGATGGTGGACTAGGATGTATAACCGTTTGTACCGAAATTTGTGGAATTAGATTACGATAGACCCATTCTGCAAGAGCATTAGGCCTATAGGTCAACTTATTTTATACAGACCTATTAATAATCGATTTGTTTACAGGCCACTATATTCAAATTTACTATAAACAAACAAACAACAAACAAGATTCTTGTTCTCAAACTGAATATTTTGTTTAATTGACACTAAAATCTCCGCAAGGTTGGCGCACAACGGTGTCTCATAAAATAAATTTTAAGGATAAATAGTGGGAAAACATAGACGTCTCATTTGAGATATAAATTGGTATAAACATAAAACTAATGTACACGTATTTGATCATTTTATATGAGTTTTATTTATGATTCATTATGACGCTTGCATATTATGTCACAGTCTGTGGAACTGCGCAACGGCGAAATTCTCGATTGGTCTATGGAATTATTGTTTTGATCTTTATTCTTTACATTTACGATTTTATGTATATTTTCCCTTAATGTAAATTCACAGAGGTAATTATAATCCAGGCCTAGGCCTATCTGATTAGAATGTATGGCGCGGTAAAATTGTGTCGTTGGTCATTTTGACACCCTCTTGCAGCAGTGCAGGCCTCTCAGTTGATTACATACAGCCATTTTCTTGAAAATGTCATTTTTAAATGTATATATTTTTACTTATAAAATATATACATTTAAAAATGTATATATTTTATAAGTAAAAATATATACATTTAAAAATGTATATATTTTTTAATGTATATATTTTTACTTATAAAATTGACTGTATAAATCATCAATTCAACATTCATTTTCTTTAATACGCAAAGTTCATATTGCGGCAAAACAGACGATGGGACCTAAGGCGTAATAAAAGCCATATGGTGGTATAAACATGAGAAAACAGCAACGGTTTCTAAGGAAACGCAGTTGGAATCCGTCGAGGACATGTTATAAGCCTACACCATTTCCATCGTCAATGAAATGAAATCAAATTATTAATATCTTATTGTGCACAATATCGGAAAGTTGTGTTTATTGTCATGGGATGGGTGTCCACCTCACTAGTTGTGTCGACAAGAAATGAGCGACAAAGACGTGGAGTTGCAAGTTCTCCTTTTATTGTGGTTCTCAGTCAGACAATCAGTATCAACAGAATACAGAAAGAGAAGAAACCCCTGAAACATTACAAAAACATCCATGTATCAGTATAAATTATAAGGTTAACATACGTAATGGTCCTAGCAACACACCAAGTTGTGCAATAATTAAATTACTCTTCATTGTTAAAACACCATTTACTGTAGCATATGTTTAACTACACAATGAACCATGAACATTCCCACTGATTCCGTCTCTGGAATCATAGTACAGTACCACATAAGCATCAAACTCAAATTTCCTCACGGTTACACAAATTATTACCCCTATCCTCCCAACAGGATAGCATATAGGGTACTCCACCCACCTGGTTCACACAACCAGCATACAGTAAAACAAATAAAGAAAATAATAATTTGATAATAAATAAATCATTCTTACATCACATTATAACCACACTGAATGAATACTCATAAAAGGGTCACTTGCAGTACTTATAGAATACGTAATTAACATATTACTAATATAAAAGAATAAAATACAAGTAATCAATAAACTCATCAATGCTTAACACATTAAAATAGCCAATTATGTTAAATAAAATAGTTGTAATCGATACTATCATAATAATTTTGTACCTGAATCCAACTCTGTACAAAGGTAGCGATTTCCGACTCCAGTCTATAATCAAAGACTGCTACACACATCAAATATTCCCAAGCCTCACTCAGCTTGTCTCCAAGTTCCCGTTACTAGAATAAGTAATTATACCAATATTTGTTCTATATAGCATTCCATCATCATGTTACAATCATTTATAAATCATAGCAAATAATTAAGTCTTAACATCGAACATAACAAGTCATAAACTATAACGTGAAAGATCATTATGTACATCGAACGCCGAATTATCGTGGGCGCCGCCATCTTACATGTTTGTTTACATTACGGCGCCCTCTATGGATGGATTCGCTATCAGCTGTAAAGCCATGGATCAATTAAAATCACAGCGGGGAATCTAAACATTGATGATCATGCCAGACCTACGATAACAAAGCTAATTTAACCATACTCTGACTTACGGTACTCTTGTATTAGTTAACAATCATACTTAACTTATTGTCAAGTATAAACTCATACCACCTTACAGGTAGTACACTAACAACAGAAATGTGTAACATTATTTAATTCAACAGTGGTATTACGATGTATGTAGGCCACCCTAACAACACAACGTGCACTGCTTCAGGCACTTAGATAGGCCTATCTCAGATGCAAGGAATTGCGACCTAACAATCATTGATTAAAAAAAGAATATTACAACACATGAATACAATCGACTAACACTCAATTATACATCTTATTAACACAGTAAAAGTAAATAGTTGAAGCATACAATTAACTACACGTACCTAGAAAACTTGTCTTTAGGCCAAACAATGAGAGTTCTCCTGCCCCTGTGTTACCTCCAACACGGCATCCTCTACTCTGAAGAACGCGGGACGGCGCGGTCTAGAAGAGGGACGCTGAACACATCTAGATGTGTATAAGAGACAGCTTCTATCCTTGGTAGTGGAAAGGAATCCTTGATCGTACGTCCATTTAACTGCCTATAATCAATGCAGAGTCTTAAAGTATTGTCCTTCTTGCGTACTAACACTACTGGGCTAGCATACGAGCTTTTCGATGGCCGAATTATGCCTTGGTCCAGCATCTCCTGGAGCATTCGCTGTACTTCTGGAATAATATTCGGGTGGATGCGCCTATACGGAAGGCGAATTGGTGGCCCATCTCGCAGGACAATATCGTGAGGCAATACCTTGCATTCACCTACATCATAAGTTCCATTAGAGCTGTCTCTTATACACATCTAGATGTGTATAAGAGACAGCTATTGTACATAAATACAATGTGAGTTAGCAACTCCGGCCACTTCTTCCTCTCCTCTGATCGGATACCTCTAAGCAAGGTGCAGAGAGTTCGGTTAAACCGCTCGACCTGGCCATTACCAGCAGGATGATAACCAGAGGTTCGTGATTTGGCTATGCCATACAACTTACAGACTTCTCTTACCAATGAACTGTCAAAATTTCGACCCTGATCTGAGTGGATGCGGTCTGGCACCCCGTAATGTGCGAACCAGTGATCTCTCAAGGCAGCTGCTACAACCACTGCTGACTGGTCCTTGCAAGGTACTGCTAATGCAAATTTGGTGTAGGAATCTGTCATCACCAGCACGTCTTCGTAGCCACCCCGGCCCCTATCTAGCTTAAGAAAGTCAATTGCTAGCAATTCTAATGGACGGAATGCTAACAAATGTCTCATAGGTGGTCGGATACTAGGAGTAATTGACTTTGCCATCACACACTGGTAACACTTCTTAATGTGCTGCTTTATGTC